TAATTTAATAAATATAATGTAATAAATTTGTAATTTTGTTAATAGTCTTAAAAAATATAATTTTCTTTGGGTACGTAAACGGTTTTCAAAACTTGAAAAGGAAAAATTTGGCACTTGAACCTAAAAAGGTTCGCCATCCCTGGTATAGGGCATAGGCTATAGGGTGCCTCCAAATTTTTAGAAAATAATAAAGGATGCCGTGAGCCAAAAAAAGTTGGGAACCTCTGACTTAACACTACACATATGTGTACAGAATAATATGGTATTATTGTAATTTCAAATTGTTTTTAATGTTTGTTACATTTTTGGTTTAACGTCATCGGGCTGAACTCTAAACTCGTCCACAGATAATAACAATAACACGAGTATTCGAAAGGATTCGTTGAAATGCTGTATTATAATATACCCACGTACTACGCGTGTTTTGAATTAAAATACAAAACGAGTATTTCATTACGTCAGAGGATGAGTGGTAGGGCATCGCGCGTATGCGTAAAAAAGTTAGGAATTATAGGTATTTGATCCGAGTACAGAGACAATGTAGGTGTTTGGTGTGAGTGATTTGATTTTGCTATGGCGCACATTTGTAATCGTTGGAGTTGGCTACAAACTTATATAAATTCGCAGTGCGAATTGTTGTAATAGTTATCAACCGATCGCTAAACATGCAATGTTTTGTGATCGATAAATAGACCATTATGGTCGATTAACGAAATTCGAGTGTACGTCATTACGGTTCGAATCGAAACCCGATTAACTTGAACTGCGATGAAACGAATTGCGTGAACCGGAAATGTTGGAACCGAGAAAGTTTTATAAACAGTGCAAGTCGGAAACAAACTGGATGCAAAGAGCTGCGTTAAATTTATGAGCATGTCAACATTTTTCCCTAAATATAATAACACAATGTGCACCATAATTATATTACATTTCACAATACAATCGCCCATAATAAAATTCGAAACGTAATAAGTATATCAAAACGTATTATGGTATACTTATTATATGTATTTACTTTTTAAAACGTTACAATGAGCTCATCGAAACTGATAATATTTTTATCACCACTGGCCGGATTGTTGATGTATTATATTATGATGATATTTTGATATTATGATGTGCAGGTACGTACGTCATGAGTGTACTGAATACAAATATATATTTTGTATAGCTATACTATTGATATTGATCAATGGGATTCAGCCGGAGGGAGGACATCCAAATTTGAGTCTAACGAACTTCGGAATTGGAACATATATAGATTAAAAAAACCAAAATTGTCTTTTCCTATAGTGGTAGATTAGTGCCTAAGCAAAATCTAAGGGCGGCTCATCGGTTTGACAGTACGATATCATTATTCCGTTACACGATTTTCGAACACGAGTAGTAAAACAATTATCATCACCACGATGGGTCACAGCTTAAAAAAAGATCAAAGATCACCGATATAGATCGTAATATAAACTATATTATAATAATGTGTAATTACTGGCTGTAATTATCATATTAAACCTTAACTGTAGGAATTTTCGACGAATCATGAAAAGAGCGGTTTTTAATTCATATAAAAACATTTTCCTTACTACTTAGTAGTATATTATAATATATGGGTACTTAAATATTATTTCTCATTGATCGCATTAAACATATATTATTTAAATTTTGTATATTTGGAAGTAACGTTAAGGTTAGATAAAAACAAAAAGTTGCCATTAATTTGAAAGTTCATCGAAAACAGCGAAATCAAGAAGTTTTTTTTAAATATGAGTATGTTTTTAACTTTACCATCGTGTCATATTTTTATTTTTAACTTTGTTAACTCAATATGTGTGTACTAGAATTGTTAACTGTTAAAAAGTTAGGGTGTACTGGAAATAGTTTTACTCCACACTGATGAAATTAAGAGTATTATTATTATTACTATTATCCTATAAATTAAATTATATATGTATATTATATAGGTTAAGTAGATATGGGTTTCTAAGAGTTTACGGAAATTAATTCACTGATAAAAAAAAAAAAAATTATAATATAGGTGTACAATTTTTACGAAATTGTAATTTACATTTAGGACTTCTTATTCGACGCCATCAGTTTGTTGGTACATTTTAATTTATAAGATTATATTTTCGGGTACAAGATTCTTTCTATTATTTTTTAATGTTTACAAAAGTAGAAATCTTTGTACTTTATAATTTTTTAAAAGCAATTGGTAAGATAACTTCATAGAGATTTTAAATAAAGTATTTGAAAATGTTTTTAGTTGAATATTTTATTAAAGTACACCAAGGATTTTAATACGCCGGTGTAAATTATTATTTAGAATAAAAAAGCCAATTAATATACATACGTGATAAATCGTTACACAATAATACGAGAGTTTCTATTTCTACTATATCACACCAACAGAAGACCTGATTATTTGTAAAGCTGTGATAAGATTTCGATGAAATGTTGGGAATACACGTTTGCCGCAAAATCAACGTATCATTGGAAATCATTCTGCTCTAAATGTTTTTACTAGAATTGAATTTTTTTTTTAAACTGCACAGAATGTGTTTATAATAATTTCTATGTAATTAATTGATCATTTTCCCCTGATATATTAATCACCATTGTTGTACATCATAACCTTATTATGCGTACTATTATACCACAGATGCGGATAACCTAACCTAACCCTATCGCGTGTAGCCGTAAAGATAATATTATCAATAAATATAAGTATGTATTATATTACAGGAAACATGAGTAATTTTGATATTATGTATAATAATGCCGTACCAGCTGGTGAAAGGCGATATGAATACGACATATTTTTAACAATTTATTTTCAGTTATAAATATTTAAAAAAAAATCCTAGTCATTATATATAAACAGTTACATTTGTCCAAAACTGTTTTATTATCTAATTATTAATTATTATAATAATTATATAATTAAAAATTAATAATGAATATCAATGCTGGTTAAAAGTTAGTAAGTATATTAATATTTTTACCCATCTTTGGTCCCTTATGGTTATCATACAACTGAAACCACTCTTCTCATATTTCCCTATCCCTTCTCATCATATCTTTTATTTTATTTTTCATAATACTTATTCAGTATCCTAATAATATATAATAATAATAAATAATATTAATAATATTTAATAATATAAAATTATAATGGATAATGCGGAATCGGTTTCCAGGTCAAATAAGGAGTACGAATTGGTTTCCAAATAAAATTAAAACTATTACAACTGTTACTTGGCATTATTTATCTAAATAAGATAAAAGATGACAAAAAATGTATCTAGATAATTTATCTAGATAAGTCCCAACGCTGTTTATAATACTACTACAAGGTATGAAAATACATTTTCAATGAATTTATGGTGCAAAAAATCAAATGGGTAAATAAGATCACAACCTTTAAACTTTGTGGTATGTAAGTTTATGAAAATTTAATCGAATTCGTACATTCGCACGAATAATACGTAATTAACGTATCTAATTTTGGGTGGAAAAACGCAGCGTTTAGAAACGCGAAAACGCGCACCCAGCTTTGATCTTAATCAACAAATTTATTATTTGATTAAGATAGATTGTCATATAGACCAGTGTTTCCCAACTTTTTTATTATGGTGACCCATAAGTTTATTGTTTGTTGATTACACGACTCACCCCCCTCCTCCAACCCTAAAAAATAAATAAAAATATATGATAATATAGTAATAACAGTTATAGTACTGAAATGTTTAATGGAACTGGTCGTTAATCGCGACACAATAGTCACTACTCATAGGTTGGGAAATATTGACAGTATGTGAGCAGTTATGTGCTATGATATTGTAAGTATCCACTTCGTAAGCATTCGTGTAAGCGTCAATCGTTAAAATTAATTTTACAAAAACTATTACAAATAAAGGTGTTGTGTGCATTTTACTTAAAGAGCAAAAATATAGATTTTTACGAGAAATTGCCAGTGGTAATGTGTCATTGAGATGTACTAAAAAAAAATAAATGTTCTATTACAATAGAGATGGATAAATCTATGACTGCAATTGTTCGTGTTAACGATGAGTATTTATACGATATAGTGAACGATCATGATGCCCAGAGTCATGTTTTGCGTAATAATTGTAAAAGAAAAGCAACTGAATATATTACCGACAGACTATCGATAATAATGCGTCACGAGTTGTATGTTGCCGAAAATACTGAAATTACAGGCATTTTTTTATTTTTTTGAAAAAATCGCAATCAACTGATTTATTATATTTTTATTTATTTGTATGTTTATTTAAATTTTGAAGCGAATAATATGTTATTTTTGCACCTTTGGTATTTATGTCATATAGCCAAAGTTAAAACATTATTTTTCTATAACAAGTTCATTTTTAGTAGAAAAAATTTCCACGTATAATTACAATAATAAAAATAAAAAAAATCAGTTAATTTATAATTATATTACACATTATAATTAAAGGTAAGTAATATTTTAAATCTTAGAATACCTAAACAATACATATATATATATATATATATATTGTATGTTTATAGTATTATATTCATATTATAGTATAACAATGTCATTGTCTTCCTTAAGCCACAGGTAAATAACGATCTATAATTGTGTATACATAAAAGTTTTAAAAAATAAACATAAGTATACCAATATAATTTTCGTACCCTAAGATTAATTCGCACATCATATGACAATATTTTTATTTTGTGAAATTAGCCTGTTTATATATATATATATATATGTATACAGTCGTTTGACTTTATAATCTCTATGTAACGTAATTTATTTGCAAGTGAAAAATATCTATATAAATAATACGTTTATGTATATGAGACGTGAAAATAAAATGTTTTATCTTTCTCTCTCCCTCTCTATCTATCTCTCTTTATCCTTTTCTGTTTTTCTGAGCGTAAATAATTATTAATTAGTATTTACGAACTCTTTTTACCCGCTAATATACCATAAATTATTATAATAAACTCACCATAATATCGTCTTCGGTGACCGTATTTTTTCCTACCAATTCTATCACGTGGTTGTCAATGGAGAAATTCTTGGAGGGCTTGGTCCAAGCGTATCGCATCCATTTTTTCGTTAAACAACAGCGGAGATGCGGAAAACACAAACGGCCGCTTGTCCGATCATATTTATCCACTATATCTGTCTAAACAATAATTGAATTAAAATAGTTTTTCATCAATATATATACATTCATGTTATGTTAAAGACGCAACTGGTGGCTTCTTTTTAAAAGTTTTGGGATGCCCGGTACGGTATATATTATATATTAATGAATAAGAAACGAGTTCCATTAATCACTTTAGTATGTACAAAGTGATATACATACAATACAAATTTAATTTACATTTGCATTTTTCGTATAGCTTCTTTGAGGCCTTAACTCATAAATTTGAATCATGATTAACTTGTGACGAAGATACAGATTAATAAAATATTCATTTATATCATGTGATTGAATCAACATTTGTATTTTTTATAATAGTATAATATCACTTAGTTTTTAGAAAATCTTAAAACCCTCCACAATTTTTTTTTTTAATTATGCCACTGTATAAATACATATATATATATATATATATAATATGGGACATTAAAACTTAAGTGAGCGTCACTTAAAACCATGAATTTATATTTTGTAAACTATTTAATTATGAATTTGAATTTATAGTTGAACTTAGTTTGTTAAGAATTTAATAAATTTTGGTTCTCAATGGATCATTTTGTATCAAGCACAATTGCGGACCATCGAACGACAATATATTTTTGAATGTATGGTGCAGTTGTGATAGTTACCGTTTTGTGTTCCATACTTTTTTAATAAATATTTATTTTAATTGCGACTTCATACTTCTAATATATTCATTATTTTTTTTATCAAATAAGAATAAACTTCTTTTAAATAGTTCTTTTATCTCTATAGAATAACTTAAAAATAAGTTCTTCAATTCTTTCACAATTTTTCGAAATAAAATAGTTAATTAATATGTTTAAAAAATATATTAAACTCAAAATTATATAAAAAATATTAAACTCTCAATTAATAGTTTTGAGATTTTGTATTTCCGAGAACATGTTGATTTTTTTCTTTGATAAATACAAGGCAAGTGAGAGTATTACATGATTTATTTTATAAGAAATTAAACTATTTTAAATATATTTTACTCTTTAAAATAATTATTAATTAGAGTTATATTTATTTTATTTCAGTTAAGCATAGAAATTATTGATTCATGCATTCACTAATGCTGACGATATCTTATGTGAAACACGACAAACGCACCTGAATCGTGTGTCTCATTAAATCAACATTAAAATCTCCATTGACTTTAAGCAATACCACAATGTATCCTGTATTACTAGGCGTATCCATTGCTGATCGAATAGAAACCGATTTTATGAATTCCAATTCTGGAAACTTCGATTTGAGTATTCGTAACAATACGAATCTGCCGATCGAGGTAGCTGAAAAAATGATAACAATTACGGAAAAATAATTTTGTCGTTCATTAATTTTTTAAACGATTAATAAAACTAATATTTGTGTCTCATAGTATTGAGCTTTTATAATTTAATTATGTATTAAACAATTATATTAAATTAGCGAGCGTGTTATCAAGTTGGTGCATACTATACAAAAAAGAAATCAAGTAACTATTAATTTTATGTTCAAATACTTTTATTTCAAGTATTGGAATATTTTACATACATTATACCTATGTATTTTTAAAACTGATAAAATTTTAAATGATGTGATAATTTTAGTAATAAATTTTGAGTGAATATTTGTAAAGTCATCAAATTAGATAGATTATAGCATTAAGCATTTTAAGTTAAAACATCAAAACCACATTATAATAATGGATAATATTTTACAAATTATGTAATTCTATCATACGTCATTATAGCGATCGTACCTGTTTAAATTTTGAAAAAAAAAGTTGACAATAAAATTCAAATAAAACAGGATCTCGTATTGAGGAATTGGGTTTAACTTCGAAACTGCAGTAGAGCAATACTTGCAGCATTTATTTTTTTATTTTCTTTTGTATACAATTTTGCTGTTAGCTAGTACGTGTTCGATAAATGTCAACGAAACCCGCTGGGGATAGTTATGTTTATTACATTATCGATCTTACGTGGTTGGTTCCAAATTTGATATACCACTTTTGAACTAAATATGTATTTATATTTTATATTTTGTGAAATTTTTCGAACGTTTCACGAACTTATTTTTCCTATATACTTTTACAAGATTTAGAGAACATAAATGTGTTACGATCATGATGGTGAGAAGCTGGTATATATATATTGCGTAGACAATTATAAACGTACACATTACGTTTTATTTTTTTCATGCATAAAGATATTTTCAATATATAATTTTTTTGCTAAGCAACTGTTTTATTTAATTAAATTCGTATTTTTTTTCACACCTTTCACATTGTACTACCTATTTAAATCCAATATATTATTTTTGATTTCTAATTTAATAAAATATATTTGTAAATAACTTCAGGTGGAATGTTGAATAATATTTGAAGATAAACTATATAAGGGTCTTTGCTTTCTTGCGCGATACGTTTGTAATTTACATTACTGTGATTATTTTTATTTTTTCAATCTATATTTCTACTATTATTTTATGTATATTAAATTAAAATTATTCGTTATCTTTGTTTGTTTAAGGTCATAATACAAAGGGATCTAATGGGATTCTTTTATTTTTATTGGTTTGTAATATTGTAGTGCTTCCGTAGTGTAAATATAATTTAAATTTGAAAACGTGTTGTAATTAATTAACAAATTTCTAATCAGATACACAATAGGGTCTCATAATGAAATGGTCATATAATAATGATAATGTTTTACTGCTGTAATTAACAAATTTAAAATGTTATGATACATTATAACATATTATTAAATATGATATTTTCGTCGGTGTAGTACTCTGTGAGGTGCGTTGATTAATTAATCGGATAGTAATGCTAAATATTGATAATGAAATGATACATTTAGAAAAAGCTATTTCCCAATTATGCCGTACTAGTGGACTGAAAACGAGATGAATGAATAGGTATTTGAATTTATACACATCATAAGTACACTCATTGTAATATTATGTTTATATTTGCATACGGTTACATATTGGTATATAAATGTAATTATTGATGATAAATTGTAGAGTGATATCGGTGTAGTTGAACCTCGATAATATTAAGTAGGTATGCAAGTATGAAGTATTTATATAACGGGAGAAGTGTGGTGCCAAACACAGTAATATATTTTCATAAAAAAGAAACAGAACCCACTCCTACACAACATTTTGAAAGTAATGGAACATTTTTATTTCATAATAAAGATTTACATTTTAACGTTTCAACATAATTTTATTACTCAAAAATCGATTAATCCAAAATAATATATAATTGTATACGCTATTATTTCGTTAAAACTGTTTTATACTATGCTCTAATAAAATTGTTTATATTTATTTATGTAGGTAATTTAGGTTCGAATGAAAATTTGAGTCAGCACACACCCAAAAAACACTATGATAACAATGATTTACGATGGTAAAAATAATAATACGTTAAAATATGGACTACGATTAGCGTCGTATACGTACTTAGGTAACAGAAGCAAAACGCCGGTATTGAGACCACGGACAACATAAATGACATCCACGTGAACATGGTGTCCCGGAGTGGATGATGTCGTTCTTCGTCATCGGTACCTGCACATGACGTACACACAAGTCAATATTAACATAGCGCACAGATACGCGTAGAAATCCGGGAGAGGACCGCAAGAAACGGAGGTTGGACACATCGAATCGATGAGTGTTACGGGGGTAAAGGAACGGAACGGTCGAGAAGAAATGTTGATGTACGAGGGGGGCCAGGCTTTGATGACGAAAGACGAAGACGTGTATGGTGGATCCACACCGGGACTGGTTTTTGTTTTGTTTCCGATTTGAAAATATCTTTTCGACCGTTTTCTCGGGCCGTCGTGTCGATTGGATCCGGAATAATGTCGATTTTTACGCTGTACGGATGACCGTGGACTACATACTCACTCATTTTCACTGATTTTTCGAAATCGAGACTTTCCGCCGCGTTCCGCTGTTGTTGAATTCACATAGTTTTCCGGCGCACCACGGGTCGGACCAGCTGCGCGCTCATCGACCACTGACGATGTACTGAGCGGGAATTCGTACAGGTGTTGCAAGACGGACGTGGTGCCGGTACGATGTGTAAACAACGAGTCGTGTTATATAATATACGTAGGTTCTCTTATCGCTGGCATGTCGGAGGCAGTGTTTACGCGACCTTTGGTACGTCAATCGCGAAAAGGCACCGGTTGCGCATGCGTGTTTTATACAATGCGTATACATACTCATACGAGTGTTGAACTGTAAAACAGGTGTATCTTGTACACCTACGCAATCATCGACCATTTAGGTAGTTTCAATGTTTTTGTTTAGATAGCAATAATTGTTTCCGTTTGGTTACGTGGTGCTATCGTAACGAACGACGGATCGCGGATAATGTTCGGCTACGTACCTTGATCGTCGCGGTCCGGTGTACAATACGATGTGCACTTTGCAGGACCATCGGCGCACCCGGGTTCCCTTATTTCCGGCGACTATTGTTGTGTAGTTGTACGTTACTCCCTCGCAGTTTCCGAGCTTCTCGAGCGCGCATACAATGCCACTAGGCGTGATTGAAATGTGTAAGAGTTAAGAAAATACGATATCTGTTGGGGGAAAAAATTCGAGCCTACAGGTGGTCAACGAGCGTTCTTAATATCATTTTGAATTTCGTGCGCGGAACGCGTCGAGATACACACGAGCATCTGCCCAAGTTCACGAACGCTGATCAAGCGACGGACAATTTTTGATTTACCCATAATGTTATTTCATTAATTTGACATTTGCGTTGAAATCATTATTCACTCGTCTTTAATTCGCCTAAATGAACGCGACAATTTTCGCGTTCAAACCGACCGCATCGACGGTCAACGACAGTACGAAGAACCGCATTTATGTGCCTACGTCGACGATAACGTGTTCTCCGCCATGATCTGTCGACGACGGACTTTGTTTACCGTATAGGAAACCGAAAGACCTTAATTTACAAACCATGTAGTGAGAATTCCATTAAAATATTCGCTATAGTATTGTATAGCGTAGTACGGACTTGGACGCGGGCGCAAATGTGATTTCTTATTTTCCAATTAACAATATCCGTCGTGAACGCGCGGCTCAAAATTTCAAAATGGATTTCGGATACGATTGCGAGTATAATGTGTACCGTAATTGCGGAAAACATGACAAGACGAGTCGGAGGGTTGGTGAAATTTAATCATCGTCGTTTTCGAGGTCAACGCGATAATTATTTCTAGATAAAACTACCGACCCGACGTCATTGAATTATAATATAATCATTATTGTTGTGATGACGGCTCTTGTTATTATCTAGATGAAACAAATCATTTCTGTACACAGAAGTGTAAACATCATTACTTCATAAATATATACGAGTATAATATTACATAGGATGGTCACATTTGTAACACTAACAAATGGTGGTTTTTGGAATTTTTCTAGAGGTACCTTGGATATTATGTTATAACTCATTTTTTTTTTAAATTTTTTAATAACATAAAAAATATTAACACATTATTAATTGAGTTTGAATTATTTTGAAATTTTTTAATCTATTCATTCGTAAAAAAAAATATTTATTTAATTTAAAAATTTAGTTTGTAAACTGTTTTCGGTGGATATTTTATGATTTTTTTTTCACGTTAAAGAAATTGCACGATTCCAATTATTAAACTTTTTTTGGTACTAAGCACCTATTGATTGAGAGTTCAATCTTCCTTCATTTTTTGAAAATGTTATGAACAATTTCCATTGTCATTAAAAGTTTCAACTGCATGATTCCAATTATTTTAAATTTCTTTGAGACTTAGTCACTTATTGATTAAGAATTCAATCCTCCTTCATTTTTTTTTAAAATATAAAAAGTTTACATAATATGCATCATTTTATTCAGATGAGAATGCCAATCAAGAAAATCGTATCAATCAAACATATTGAAGTGTAAGATACTTTTTTTTTTTACAAGAATTATGTTTTTGTTGGAAAAATAAATTTAATACCGTGTATCTAGGATTCAAAAATTATTCAAAATATTTAGTATGTTATTCCGAGCAAATTTTTTATTTTTGTAGAAACTTTTATCAAGGGAAGACGAAAATGTATTGATCGATACAGGGGAGACTAATCGCATTCTTTTTTTATTAGTGATGGCTGTCAATGGACAATGATGGAGAAGGATATATTTTATTTGTTGGTTGTTTTTCATTATAAATGTTTAAAGAATTAATTATATCTGATGATTTAAAATGTTCAGATATTACTTTATCGAAAATGTGTGTAAAATAATGCATGAACGCCGTGGTGAATATTGCTCACATACTACATATAATACATATTATGCATAGATACCATTTTATAAATACTATGAAAGCCAGAGGAAGACATTAAGAAATACTGAACATTATTGATTATTATTTTAACACGAATTTAACATTTATTTTATTTTATTATTATATTTTTTTTTAATATCAATGATAAAACTAATCCACAGCTAAAGTCTACACTTGGGGATACCTTTAGAATCTTCTCGTAAAACTATCCCTGAACTCATATAGTACTATTCTAAGATACATTCATATAATTTATACTATGATTTTTTCCAAATAATTTGTTCATTTTTATACATATTTTATGTGTTTGTAAGTGTAAAATAACTTCCAATATTTTCTTTATTATGTGATTTAATATTGTAAATGTTTTCTTTTAATGGTAACCTTGGATAATATTGTTTATATATATTTTTATTATATCTTCGAGAGTCAAAAATTAATTTATACAAATATACATTTGCTATCCGTATATTTAATTAGCAGCTGTAACGTGACTTATTTCGTTTAATTATTATTTTCTGGCAAGTTAGGTTAGGTCAGGTTAAATTGAAAACAAAACATATATGAATTAGTATCAAGAGCGCAACAAAAATAATGAAGTTACTGTGGCTTATGATTCTACTGTATGTTTAACTAGCTGAATTACCCGACTTCATACAGAAAAGTCTTGGCCAAGACCTCACCAATTACTTTATACTATTTAAAGTCTAGTGTAACAATTGGCTATAAAACAAATAAAACGAAAATTCAAATGAATCGACTTTAGCGATTCCGGTTAGATGATTTATTTTATATTTACCACTTTTTGTTTTCACCTCTTTTTACCCTCTTAGGGATTGAATTTTGGAAGATCATTTCTTTCTTAATGCACATCTAGAGTGTTAGGGGAACTACTATGTCAAATTGCAAGTTCATGCAATCTGTCGTTTTTGAGATTTAGTGAAGATTAGTGAGTGAGTGGTATTTGGTTGATATATTTATAGGTATAGTATATATAATATAAATATATGGATTATTATTACTATAGAACATTTATAGATAACCTAACTGTATAAGTACAAACTCACCAAGAATATCAGAAATTGTACTGAAAAAAAATTACTTTTTTTGGAAAACCCGTTTCGTGGTAGAAAATTTAGGAGATGAATTAATAAAAAGTGTTAATGGTTGAATTTTGAAAAATGTAAACATCGAATAAATGTTGAAGGTGTTACGGAAAATGTAAAAGAAAAATTACGTTTCATTGTTTATAAATAAACAATTTTTATGTTATTAAATACTTTAAATTTTAATATTTTTAACTTCAGTGACATAATATTGAAAACTATGTCGAAATAACAGTATATATTGAAAACTATAATTTTGTAGATATCAAATATGAAACATTTTTTTATCATATAAGTAATTGATTGTAGTTATTAGTAAATCGTAACAATGCAATAAAATGTTAAATAGCTAAAGGTAAATATTAATTATAGTTATATTTAGTGAACTATTAATACGTTATTAATTTAAGTTTAAATTTAATTTTAAGTTCTAAACAAAATACGTACACATAAGGAAGATAGCACCTGTTTAATTACGCTAATTTATTATTCACACAAAAACATTTTTTAGATAAATTAACTGTGTGTGTGTGTGGGGGGGGGGGGGGGGGGGAGTTGATTAAAATACCTTTTATTGATGACTATTGACCCGACCATTACTCGAGCAAGAGAAATAAACGTTTACGTCTTTAGCTATCAAATTTTTTGATGAGTAAGTAGAAACTTGTCAATTTACCCAGCATGGTTTACATTTATAGGTGTTTATTGTAAGTATCTATACAGTAAAACATAAAAATAATAAAAAAGCAATTAAGTGATTATGAAACATTAAGATAATATTTATATATTATATCGATGATCGAATAAAATGATAGAATCAATAAAAAAATAATAATACAGTTGGTAATTAGCAAGTGTATAAATACTATTGGATACATTTAACAGTTAGAATAATTATCGGCAAAAATCATTTATTTGCTTATTATTACTTTTTGAAATATGGTGAATATGAAATTTCATGCGGTAAAATAGTAGATCATCGAATAAGCAGAATAAGCTTAAGTTATATGAAATTATTTGTTACATCGAAGATTATGATTTATTATAAATTTCACTCACACTGTAATTATTCACCATTCAAAAAATAGAATACACGTTGCCATATATATTTAGGTATACAACAACAATAAATCTTATTAAATTTTACGCGCTTAACACAAATTACATTATTTACAATATAACAAGTTTGTTTCGTTTGTATTAATTTTCATTAATAACGCAAGTAATATCCAAAAACTGTAACTTCCTGGGGTTATATAGTATACACGAGGTCTTATAAATATTTTTGTTCGTATTAATAATTTAAATAGGACAATGAAGACTGTACAGGGATACCTGAATGTTGATATTTTATTAGCAATCCCGATAAATCTGGATATACATTGCTGTTGCAGAAACATAATCACTTTGTATAGTCCAGTTAGTTCAAGTTACTCAATAGATATATTACATTCAGTGTTTGGTTATTAAAAACAATGAACATAAATGAGTATAAATTGTATTTTATATGCCCACACTTTTATTGAAATTATAAGACATACTGACATAAGGTGAAATAAAAATCGTAGCGAAATTTTAACATGTAATATTCGAATCAGAATTGAATTATTTTGAGTCTTATGCAAACATTGGATAGGTTTGTGGAAATTTAGGTTTCTTTTT